TTCTGACTCGAGCATGATGCAATTCCATATTATCAACAACAACAACAACAACAACAACAACAAAATGCACAGTTTAATAGATTCGAACAGATTATTTCACTGAGAATTATTTAAGAAGGTATACCAGCTATTGCATTTGTATACTCTTTCGATTTGGCTGTCTTTCTGGAACCACACTACGAAGCGGTCAATGGAGGAGGAGGCGGAGGCGGAGGAGAGTATTTGTGGTGAGGTGGAAATAGTATCCGGACTCTTTTGATTCCGTAATGGGTCTCCACTCCTTGAGTCTTGATACAGGACAAGTACACTGATAGACGCAAGAAAAAAAATAGAATGTTTTTTTTTTAATGTGTGCACAAAGAGAAGGAGATTTTTTTCTCGTTAGTCAATTGTGTGGCTTTTCATTTGATAGGTAACCTCGATAAGCGATAAATTAAATAATCACAATATATCACGTTATTTTTAATCAGGCTTCAAATTGAACTTGAAACACAGAATTTACCTTGTTCAGGTTATGAAAACAAGAAAAACAAAGCCCATATGAACTGGTTTTCTCCGGTTTGCAACGTGTCCCAAGGGATGTTTTAATTTTCGATTCGATCTTGGTAATTGAGTGAATAAAATTATTTGAAAAATAAATCAATAACCGAAGTCATCTTTGCGAACTGAATCAGTATTGTTAATAACTGAAAATGTAGCCGGTTTATTCGGTAACATTCCTTAGGGTAATTTTCTATCGCAACTGAAATCAGGATGAGAAAACATGAAATAGCATGATTTGATAATTACATTGAAAAATCGATTTCAAACATACCAGATAGCCAAATAATTTTGGTCTCGATTTCTCAGTCGTTTTGTCAATCTGAGGAAATATGTTATAAAGATAATATTCTACTCAGTGTTGTTCACCGAATATTCCTCATTTTAGTAAAATGATCTAATTTAGTCTGTCTGATACTTCGGCTTCTTTTTCTGCAGAGACAGAATTCTCTCATTAAATCTTGGGGCAAACACCTGTTCGCGTGCATATTGGAAAGCACCTCTGACAAACAGACAAACGAATTCGACTGTTACCATTTGATATTTAGGCCAATCAATCAGGTTAGTGACATTTCCTGAATTTCTGATTTTGCCATAAAATTCCCGCTAGAGCATCATCAAAAAATCTGGTGAACAGGATCAGTTTCCGCAAGCTGATCCGCAAGCTAAACAGCCCCGCACCCGCGCGAGCGCGATTGGACAAGGATTACACTCATCCATCCAATTGATGATGAATAGGTCCCAAATAGATTGCTCCACTGAGCCAACAGCTTGGCGATGATCTTAGTCCATCCGACGGGCAAAACGCCGGTTCTCATTAACAATCATTCTTTCCCAAGCTTTTCAAATATCACGATAAATGAGATGAATTGAAAACAGGAACTTTAATCAATTCAATTGGACGAGGAACCTTACAACTACTTGAAGGAATGCTTCAGTCAAATANTGAGCGACCAGCGGATCCCGAGTAATCAGTTCTAGTGAAATAGTGAACTGTATCAATTTATATCTCCTGTCCGCCGTTGAATACATTTATTCCCTTATAAAATGAGTGAATGATTTAGTAAGAACATAACACTTTGAAATACTCTATGCAATTTATTCGTTACCGACTACTCAATCGATACGCCTGCTTTGATCAATATCACATCAATCAGAAGACTACACGTTTGGTAGAGTGTAGTCAAAGCTTGCTCGGGATTTTATGTGACCAAAAATTTGTTTGTCTACCGCTACAGTATGTCGAAAAAGTTCGGAAAAATACGATCCACTTCTTTCTTCTTCCAATATTCAAATCGCATCCGGTTAGTTGGGCACGAGAACAAGTTACCGTTCGTGACATTTGGAAATCGTATCCACGAGTGCCGGAGAAACGATCGCCTGGTGCCAAGTGGGTGAGACGATAATTTCGGAGTGGTAATCGGTGTTCGTGAATTCCATTGAAATCACGAACATGTCCGATTCAGAGTTTAAACCTGGTTATCCAAGCTTTCAGTAGTAAAAGTGATTGATGAGTGTTCAACGAGCAACATTTGTTCTTCATAAAATGATATATCTGAGTATTAAGTGATCATATGAATTATTTGAGAGCAAAAGTCGATCTAACATCTTCAGAGATCAGTTGTGTTGAGTAATCAATTGGATGAGTATGCCAGGTCACCTGATTCTCTAGTTTGCATTTTATGCGTTATTGTTTGGCAGATTGAAGTTTTATGTTGAGATTGTGAAAAACTCATTCGGGGCAGTCAGCTTACACGCCAACTGGTGGATGCCATATGCTTCTGTAAGTTGGATTCGAATGTGAAAAGATCAGTGCCATATAGTTGTGGCCTCATAGCTCAGGTGGAAGAGCATGCGCGTACAAAGCGTCCATGCGTGGGTTCGAATCCCACCGGGGTTATTGAACTTTTTACAATCACAGCGTGTGACTGTTAGGTTTGTTACTGGTTAACAATCACCTATTTGAACGGACCGAATTACAGTATGCACTGTAATGGAAGCTATTACAGGTAAGCTGATTAAACAAAGGTATTTGCACTGCAAATACTGATGACTGATTATCATCACGTCCCGTACATGTTAATCGAAAAATCCGTGAATTGTATTTTACAGATTGTCTTACCATTTACTCTATTCTTGCTCTATCCTCACATGTCTGTTAGATCAGTCGAAAAATGTGTTTCTTTCACGTCAAGGGAAACAGCCACATTCATAACCATAACTTTCTGAAACGAACGAAAGCTTCTTCATTGGTCAAGTGAAAGCTATTCGTGAAATCAACCTTTTGGAGATAATTTCTATTTGACGGGCGTTTTCTCTCCAACGCACGTGATACAATTGTTCACGTATGAGCTGACCGGTGGAGCAAATTGTATTTGTTTTCGGATGTGGTCATGGTACCGTGTCCGTGTCCCATAATTAACAAACCACCACGGAATTACACCGAAAACGAGATAGTACTGAATGTGGGACGAATGGGACATCAATCGGAGTTCACTCGATTTGGATGCTACCCGCGTCCGTCGTACAGTGAGAGATGCGATAACATCCCTGGTGAATGAGGGAGTGAAAATATTTGTGCTAGTAACCAGTGGTTGTGGGGGTTCGGGTAAACATACAAACAAACACACAAAAAACAAACAAAAATACTGGGGAGGTGATGGTCGCTTCTGTATCGCCTCATGCGGGGTCCGTCCTGATCAATTTTGTAAGAGTGACTCAATTGTAATGTGGAAGGATTTTCCAGTACTAAAACTCCAACAATATTTTATATGGCAAATGATTTCTCGTTACTGATCCTGATCTGTAATTCCTAACCAATCAGTGTTGCAACATCATTAAAAAAGAACACGCTACTGATCTCATCACAATTCTAACATAAGACGGTTGTGGTCTGGAATCTGTCAAACTACCGAAATCGAACGACTTTCACTAAGTTCCAAGGAGCAGAACGTGGTTCATGACTGGAAACTGAAAGTCCAAATAGTCTCCAGATAGATGATAATACGACTTGTACGTCTTGTATACCTTACTTGATGAATCTGCTCTACATTTTGTTTCACGTCCATCACTGTCACCCCATCCCTCCCCAAAGTGTCCTAAGCCAAGGATTATTAGAGGCTAAACTACCTAGTAGTATGTCAAACAATTTTACGTATCGTTTGGAAATAAAGGGTTTCACCATTTCGTGTTTTACAGATAATTCTCCAATGAACTCACAAACTTCGTCGCGCGAATAAGGCGTGAGCTGAAAAGCTGAGAAACACTGGACAGCTGTTTTGACCTATTTGGGTCTCATCAGCAGCAGTGCACGAATCCATCAACCCAACTGGGGATCGTGAGCCCGGAAACTCACGAATAGAACGTAAGCGTACTACCCACTGGATCACCGGGTAGCTGATCAGAGCGCTTCTTATTTCGAATAAACACGGTATAGTACACTGCTTGCGGTCTACCTGTGATTTCCCGGGTTCACGATCCCCAGTTGGGTCGATGGATTCGCCCTCTGCACTGATGAGACACAAACAGGTCGAAACAGTTGTCCAGTGCTTCCCAGATTTTCAGCTCACGCCTCATATACACGATGAATACATCATATAAACAAATATTAAACTATTTATCTTCTCATGTATCGTTGTAGTAGTATCGTTCTTCATTTTCATCTATGCGATTCAACACGCCAATTTGTGTTCTGTAATGCTTTCAACGAATGGATCCAAAATGCAAAACAACCCCATTCGTTTTGTGCTGTTCATGTTATGGGATCATGCAACAAACGGTTTTGGGTTCATTGCTTCGTATTAGAATCTGACCCACAGGCACACTGCTTGAACGTTAGACACAAATTCAGCCAACTAAATGTCACGTCAGCGGAACAGACCGTGCTTCGAGCGCGCGCGCGCGCACGTGAAACAGATTCCAGCACAAGATCAAACACGACCAAGTTATCTATGAGAGCTGACGTAAATCGATAGGTTTACCATAGTGCATGTCGACTGAAATAGTTTTCAGTGTTCCATCTGACGCACGCTCACCAGGCGCATATTATTATTTTTATTATTATTATTTTGAATAGCACCTAAAAATGACGTGACTGAACAGACATAACATGTGGATGGCATTTCAAAATTTCAAATTTCCGTTTCCTATTCAGAATTGGTTACGACGAGTTGGGATTTCAAACTTTAACGGTACGTCAGATGAAAACTATTGGATGGAAAAAATGAACTATAAACTTTGAATTTTTACGGTCACTCTCAGTCCACAGTATTCGCTTGCGAGTATTCGCTTACATGCCGCCACCTGTCAATAATCTTGTATGTTACGTAAATCTGTAAAATACGTGAATCGTTTTGACTGATTGGACTGGGAAACACGTGACCCAGGCGGTATATCTCTAACGTACTCAGACGGCTAGGGGGTTTGGGGATATAACTGTCATTTCGGCCATGAATTGTAATTCATTTCAGTCGTAGACAAAAAGGAGGACATTTTGCATCTTCACGTGATTTGAACTGTAATCCCACAAACAATTTGCGTTCATCAGGTGTTCTATGAGAGAGAGAAAAATAGCACAAAATCATTATTTTAGTTTGGCTACGGAGAATGTGTACAACTTCAGGTCGTGTTGCTCCAGTGGATACTTCTAAAGCTGAAACGGGTGAGTGGTGAAAGATTGAATCGTGCTGCTTCGGGTTTATTCATAACTTGTCCGATGAAGTCCGGACCATATCATACATTTGCCGGACAATATTTCCTCGTTACAGTCTCACGTTAGGTTCACATTTATATCTCATCAGTAATGCATTGAGAAATTTGTTTTGCACAGTTGCTATCCTTCCGTGCGAGGAGTTTCACTTTTCGCTTTCGATCCGTTTACACGTTATCGCGCTCACCGGTCCTCGTCGCATTCGTGCTTACAAGAAAAGTTTCCTAAGCGTGACCGGTACATTTCCCGTGCCAAGATAATTGCACACACACACACACACACACACACACACATACACACATCTTCCACAATCACAAGTCTTCTGGTGTAACTAGTGCTAACTTGGTTGTTTGAGAGTAATTGAAACCCTTTTAGAGGCTGATCAGGACTGGCTGTAGTCGACGCACTTCAGGCTTAATAAATGAAATAAAAGAATTAAATTCTTTTTACTTCCTTTGTTATTTATTGAATACACAAGTGTATAATCAACTTTTAGCAAGGGATATGAATGGTTTGGATTGATTTACCCAAAACGATTGGTGCTAGATTTGCCTAACCCGATTGGTGACCTAGCTAGCAGACCACCACCACCATCACCAACACCACCAAAACCATTACCACCACCACCAACATCACCACCACCACCACCACCATCACCACCACCACCAACATCACCACCACCACCATCACCACCACCACCACCAACAACAACAACACCACCACCACCAACAACAACACCACCACCACCACCATCACCACCACCGATGCATGTACTTTGTGCCCGAAGCTGATTACGACTCATGCTATTCATTACTTCACCATGTTAAAAAGTTTAATCAATTCAAAAACACTTGTTTTTCTCTGAAGTGTTCACTCACCTTCATTTCAACAGGATAGCTAAGCGTTACAACACATTGTGATGCGACGAAACTGTTTGTGATGACCGACAAAGAGCACTGGACAGTTGTTTTGTCCTGTTTGGGACTCGTCAGCAGTGCGTACTCTTGTGTGTCCCTGTCAGGACTCGAACCGCGAACTTTCAGGTTGGGACTTCAAACTATTTTCCCCTGAACTACACGATCGACGGTCATCATCTTGTGCGAATGGCTCAATCAATTCAGAGTAGCAAGATTGGATTAGCCCATTCGATTTTTCACAGTTATCAGGCACTATTGATGGTCTTGGGTGTGGGTTTCACTCCTTGTTTGCTAATCTGCTTTACCACCACAACTGTCATGATAACCAAATTCATGGGATGATAAGTGAATTCATCACTTGATAAACGCATTTCTTATTAATCGGTTTGAACATGAATAAAGACATACAACATATCTAATTACTCGCAAAATTCTCATTGCATTTACAATGTTTACAACAGCTGGATCACGTGCGCGTTTTACCTAATTCGTGAATTAACTTATTCCAATCTACCATAGAGTAAATTGGTGAGTGGCAGGGGATTGCAATTTAAGTAGCTCTAATCAATACCAGCAACGAACGCATAGTTTTTCACAATTCAGATTGGATGTGAGTGAAATAAGTTGATGTTTCCCGTATGAAGAAATGGGAACGTATGACCCAGTTGATGACGCGCAACATTGACGCCACTTTTACCGACTGATCATTGCAGGTTTCGATGAGAACTGTTGATCCAGAAGTATCTGATGAGGTAGGCGCCGTTCATGTTAGATAGGAAATTAGAACCTCTCCTCTCGCGCCAGACAAAACTCAATTATATAAGGCCACGAACTAGGTATAGAGCTTTTCGGTTCAGTTACTCAACTCTGGTGAGAAGGAGATGATGACTTTTTCAGTGATAAAAATCGAATTTTTTGTCAAAAAAAGATATTTTGTTTTGTTATAGTGAGTTATATTTCTGCAGAACAGCTCAGGGCTTGGTTGTTTATTCCCACACATAACTCTTTTCAGTCAAAAAGATGAATGAATACCAAGTTATTGTTGCTATTATCATCGATGAATCGTTTCATTTATTTATTTTATAAAAAAGGATAAATGTTTTCACAGTTACTCATGGGAGCAAATTCGTGCCACCGTTGATGACGATTGCAATCAGTTTAAAAATGTACTAATGTACATCAACACAAATAAATATAAATAAGCTATCAACAGCTACGAAAAAGCGTATTCAAATAATTATTAATTATCTCCATCAGATTGAAGTGTTATGTCAGAAATTAGACCAAAACCGGAGATCAATCCTCAATCTAGAGTGTCTGGTGTCTTTGAACAATCGAATGGGCTAATCCAAGCTTGATGCTCTAAGTTACTTGATTTAGTCGCACAAGGTGATAACCGTCGATCGTGTAGCTTAGGGTTATTGGTTTGAAGTCCCAACCTGAAAGTTCGAGTCCTGACAGGGACACAAAACGTATACACTGCTAGCGAGTCCCAAACAGGACAAAACAGCTGTCCTGTGCTCTTTGTCGCTCATTACAAACATTTCCATCGCATCTAAATGTATGTACTTGTAGAGAATTAACGATCTCACAAGGAGTGAAACCCACAACCAGGACCATGAAGAGTGCCTGGTGTCTCTGAATAATCAAATCGGCTCATCCAAGCTTGCTACTCTAAAAAATTGTAATGTTTTGAATTATAACTAGCAGCTTTCAATCGATACAAATCCGATCGCATCTGTAGGAAAGTATTGATGCCCAAGAAATCTGTTATTTGGTAAGGTAATCACAATCAAGACCACCTATTCGTCGGATCTTGCCAAAGACTGATCCACTATGCCGCGATAGTTGGTCCTATTTTAAATACTTAGCCACATCAATTTCATTTGTTACAATTTGTTCAGATGGCTACAACGCGCTCACCAGACTGGATGCGCACAGGACGATGTCTGTGCGAGGTATTCGGTTGTGACTGTCCCCGCCCTCGGAAGGAGCAGACCTGGCGGTGCAATGGCACACAGATATGACGGGAACCGTCATTTATGCAACCATTCCGTACTAATTAGACTCGTGCCATCTGGAATCTCACAGACAGTTCAGACATTCGGTGACACATGTGTGTGTGTGTGTTCTCCGATGTCATCCACAATTTGCTTTGGGACGGATCAAACTCGATAGAGTGAAAGGGCTATCGTTCAATGTCTGATTGCATCACATCACAATTCATTATCTGTTTCGAAGATGGAGGCGGCCGATCTGGTGGTGGGAGAGTGGAGTCGGCGTATAACACAAACGGATGATTCAATATGATTGAGCAAATTGCATTGGCTGTCTTATTTTCTTTTGGTCCTCATTCATTCTTCCCTGATATTTATTCTGTCCATCAAAGCACAAATGAATTGTTCTTTAGGTTTCCAGGTTAAATAATAATGATAATTAACAATTCGTTGGTTGTTTTTTCATCTCAAACCGTTATTAGGACAAACTAATTTCCAAATCCATCTGCCAGAGATTCTTCGATGATTCGAAGCACCATAGTGCAGTATTCCCGACTGAGTACCCGTGGTCAAGGATCAGGTGAAATCCATGTGCTGCGGCCTACAACTAAGCTGGAATATTTCCTAAGATATTCTGGCTCAAAGGGGGTTAAAAACCACCCCGGAGATGACGATTTAAATCTACATTGACCGGTGCCAAAAAAAATTTATCAATCACTTGATAACATTGCATTCTATTGCATTGTCTATCTAATTCTATTTGAGCGGTGATGTTAGAGTTGTTAAGGTTATCTAAAATGACAACCGGCGATCCTGAGTTCGAAACGAGTCATCACCACCGCAACTCCATTTTATGCATGTGATTCTTTAGGCAACCTGTGCATGATCAAGAGCTCCTTTGTGATACACACAAATGGGTGTTTGAAGAAAGAAACTGAGTGAAAACATGTATTTATGAATCAATATTGTGTAGTCCCAGTCGAAGATTCACTGTTTGGAAGCAAACAGACAAACAAGAAATTGTACCATCTGCAAACGGCTAAGTATTAGAATGTTCACTTTATACTTTGGTACTTTTCTGAAGGTGTGCCTGACAACATAACATATTTTTCTGTTTCATTTCTTTTTTACTTCCTTTTATTGAATACACAAAGATACAATTTTCACGAAAGGGGGAAACAGCCAATCAAAGGCCTGCCATTCAACACACACACACAATAGGGAAAGTCAGGCGATGGTGGTGTATGGGAATGGAACACACATTTGGTAACGTTACCACCGGGTCAACACCACCACCGGTTCCCAACTAAGGCCCGTGATTAACGGTACTATTTTCTGCTTGAACTCAACAAAAAGAAATACGCGAATTCCAACCGGTAATTAACAGTGATACCAATCATAAACGGTCATTCAAAAACGTATATGCTCATCGCTGGGCTCTAAAAATCGCTACACGACATCAGTGCCTAGTGCCTACGAGAAATTTGAGTACTGGATATCTCTTCACCTCCCCGCCCCCCCCTCACCCGCCACCGCACATTACCCGTGACATACTGTAAATTTTGTTCAATCGCGCTCATTATTTGTAACTGTCAACAATTTTTTATATAACCTTCCTCTAATGGCAATATAACTATATTTCATGGAGTTTTAAATTGTGATATGTACAGTTCAATCCAATAACGTATAGTAATTTGGATAAAGTGAATGAACACATTGTCATGTGTGGTGTGGATAGCTCAGTGTGACATTATGTATGACAAAAAAATTCTAAAGTGCTTCCGTAAGACACGGAAAATTGAGCATCTTCCGGAATCATCACCTATGTGTCTGGCCCGCGCTATGATAGAGCAGCACGGATCACAAGCAACCTATCCTAACTAGAATGATGTTGAGTGAAAGCATTTTGGTTCTTTCGCGTAATTAATGTGAATAGTCATCGGTGCTATTCACATCAAAATTTTGTTCACCGTTGTCGACTACAGGGAGTCCGTAAGGAGTGCTTATGCACGTCAGTTATCTTGGGAACCTTTTTGGATTTTGCGTCTGAATTTGCGATGCTCAACATAATGTTCCATTGATTTCTTCAGTTATTCGGTGCATTGCAGTATTGGTTTGAAGCTTATCGTAGTAAAGACCGGTGAATGCAATCGGATATCGCTTGACGCCATCCTTCTTGTTGTGCGGTACTACTCATACTTCTGAGTAGTATGCAAAATAATGCGTTTGGCGGTTTCCTTCAACGATCAAAAATAAACAAGACCACCGAGGGCGAATTGCGATGCCACAAAGAATAACTGCGAACTGCTCCATTCAGTACGCTGTGTTTAGCCGAGATTTGTGATAACATGTTTCAAATGAGTTATATGTTATATGTATGCCAATTTATTGATATCCTTATTGCAGTTGTAAATAAAAACTCTCCTCGCCCAGGCACTACCTTGAGAAATTATAACACTCCCCAGTTAACGGCTGTTAGCTAGTCCCTCATCTGTAACTGTCGTTTCCCCGCATAGAATATTGGCGCGTTTAATGTAGATGGGATATGAGGTTTCCACATGTCATGCCTGGAAAAATGAGAATGCGTGTGAGTTGATGTGTATTTTGTTTACATCTAGGGTTATGTCCCAGTTGCCAATGAATTTTCTGGCCTGTTTCAATCGGAGAATAGTTGAACTTCTTGTTCAGCAAACCGAGTTGCCAGCGATCACCTGGACTGTGGTCGTCTCAGAGTACCCAGTTTAACATGCACTTTATATTGGCTTGATCAGGTTTTCGTCCAGTATTCTGTGGAAGTCAATAAGAGTTTAATGAGGAATAGCGCATTTCGTTGTGTACATACAGTAACCGAAGCGAGGACTGAAAAGCTGTGAAGCACCGGTTAGCCGTTTTTAACT